GCCCTCATTGCTTCCTCAGTTTTATCTGCCTCTTCCCCCATGGAGCTAATGCCCAGCATGAAGGGGATATCTTATTGTGGGTGCTGAGCTTGTGGTCCCCCACTTTTCATTAAACAGGCACCTGTGTTATATTTGTGTCTCTGCAGACCACATCCAGTGAGAACATGAGAGACTTTGCCACGACACTGAAGAACAAGTTTCGGTCCAAGCAGTACTTCAGCAAGCACCCACAGAGAGGTTACCTGCCCGTCCAGTCTGTGCTCGAGGCTGACTTCTCTGAGACGTGAGTTGGCTGTGCCCTGGGTTATGTCTTTTGGCTCAGAATGAGACACGGCTTCTGTGGATGGAAAGAGCACCTCAGCTCATACAGGGCTCCTGGGGGAGGGCTGGAGGAGCACTTGCTCTGGGGGTGATATGCTACCTTGTTCTTGAAGGAATGGAGGTTTCAGTGTCTCTGTCAGCCCATCCCTGGCTCTTCTCAGCCAGGTGGGATCACTCTGCCCAGCCTGCTGAGCAGTGTGCATTTCTTGCAGCCCAGCCTCCTCCCCGATGCTGCCGCATGCCGACACGCACTCCCGGATCGAGCACTTTGCCAGCAGGTACCACCCCTGGGCTCTGCTGTCCTGCCGGGCACGGGGCAGAGCCCTGGTGCGAGTGGGGGGGCTTTGGGTCAGATAGATGGTCCCAGACCCCTCCTCCTGCCCCAGCATGCTGCACAGCCAGGCAAACCTGCCTGGGACGTGGCTGGTGCTGCGTAAATTGGCAGCCAAGACCATGCATTTGACAGCAGATGTCTCGGTGATGCAGGAGCCCTCACGTGCTGTCCTGCTCTTCCCAGAATGAGCTGCTGGATGGATTCTCAGCAGGCACATCCCTCAGTTCTGCTCTGTGTCCTCACCAGAGCTGTTTGCCAGCTTCTCACTGCTTCTGCCTTGTGGTTTGTAGTGCCTCTGCCCTTGCTGTGAGGACCCAAGGGGTACAGGAAGCCTGTACTTTTAGCTCAGGTCCTAAACTGGAGCTGGGATTCTTGCATCCCTTTCCTTTGCTTGTGAGAGAGGAGGCTGAACTGACTGCATAGCACCAGCCCTTTATTCTAGAGACTTACACCCAGAGCAGCAGTGTATTTTGGTTTTTGAAAAGGCAAAACTCTCTAGAGCCTGTGCAGAAGGACAGATAGGTGCAGGCCAGGTGGGAGACCCTGCAGAGAGGGGCATTACAGGGCCTGCTGAAAGTAGCTGAGCAGACATTTAGGGTGTCTCTGACCATATCTCAACCTTCTTCTCTCCCTTCCAGGCTTGCAGAGATGGAAAGCCAGAACTGTTCCTTCTTCAGTGATAGCCTGTCTCCTGATGACAGCCTGTGAGTTCTCCTTTCCCTTCTCCTCACCTCCTGATGAGTCAGGGCTCCTGTGGCTCTACCCATGCCTAGCCAGGGTACAGGAATGCTTTCCTTCCCAGTCCCATTGAGTGAGAGTCTCTTGAGCACAGCAAACATCAGGGATGCTGAGCCCCTTCTGAGCTCTAGGCCTGGAGCAACCAGGAGCTCCCCCATGAAACTGCCTCCCTCCATGCCTGCCCTTCCCCAAGGCACACAAATCCCATGACTTTGCTAATGGAGGTGTTTCCCCACCTGCTGGAACAGGGATGAGGACCAGTACCTGCTGCGCCACTCCAGCCCCATCACAGACAGAGAGCCTGGGGGCAGCCAGCAGGTTCCAGGAGGCCTCAGCATGGATGACAAGGGAGAGCTGGAGAGAGTCCTGGCCCACTTAGAGGATGAAAACAGGTAGAGACATGGGCAGCTCTGAAAGTGGGGGCCATGGCCTGAGAGGGGGGAAGGGAGTGGAGGGCCTTGTAGAGCTCAGAGTGGAACCAGGGGATGCTGCTGGGTCTGGAGGTGGGGATTGCAGATCCTGAGAGGGAAGTTTTGGAGGGTGTCTAAGGTGAGCACTAAAACTCAGTGAGGGTGTGCTTTCCAAGGAAAAGAGAGGACTGTTCCCCAAAATATTCCTTCCTACATCCACAGAACCTGTTCCCTCCTGACCCCCAAAGGGTGTGAGCCTAGGGCACCCTGTCCTTGTCCCTGAGCCCCTCATGAACAGTGGTATTGCTGCTCTGGACCAGGGTGAGGCTCTAGGCAGGGCACACCAGCTCAGGAGGAGGTGATGCTTGCCTTGCCCCTGTCTCCAGCCTCTTGGGAAGTGGTTGCATATCTGTGAACCCCCTGTGTGGGGGAGAGCCACAGACAGGCCACTCTGCAGTGCAGCATCCTGGCCCTTAAGCTTCACAAATGGCAAAGCTTTGCCTGAGCTGTGGGCCACCCCCAGTGTGCAGATCCGGGGTGTTTCCAGCAGTCTCTAGGAAGGATTGAAGGGATGCTGACCTGGGCTGTCCTGCAGGATCCTCCAGGGAGAGCTGAGACGTTTGAAATGGCAGCATGATGAGGCAGTGGAGTCCCCAAGCTTGGCCACAGGCTCTCCTGAATCCGTGCAAGACCCACGTAACGAGGAGCTGCTGGCAGAAGCACGAATCCTGCGGCAGCACAAGAGCCGCCTGGAGACACGGATGCAGATCCTGGAGGACCACAACAAGCAGCTGGAGTCCCAGCTGCTCAGGCTGAGGGAGCTGCTGCTGCAGGTACGCTCAGAGCAAGCATGGGGTGGGCCTTGCCACAGCAGAGCTGTGACAGCGGCACAAAGGGGATGGGCAGGGAAGGAGAAGCCAAGGACAGAGGGTCATGACAACCTTCCCACAACAACTCTTCTCACTCCAGCCTCCAGGAGAGTCAGAAGGCAATGGTTCAGCAGCCTCCTCCTTGGCTTCATCTCCACATCAGTCAGAAGGCAGCCAGGCAAAGGAGAAAGAGCACAACACCCCTGACACTGAAACTGCAGGTGAAATTTGGGCTTGGGCTGAGCTGCTGGCCCTTCTTCCTTGTTCCCATGGCTGCAGGAAGCTGCCTGCACCCTGCCATCCAGCAGAGATGCTGGCAGCCAGCCTGGCTCTCTGGTGGATTCCCAGAGAGCCTTTTCCTATGCACCTGCCCTCCTTGCATTGCAGATGAGGTGGAAGCCAAAACCCAGGAAGTCAGCATGTGCCTGGAAGACATAATGGAGAAGCTGCGGAGCGCCTTCCCCAGCTCCCGAGGTACTTGAGTGAAATCCTCCTCGCTCGCTCCTTACTGCTCCCTCAGGTGAGGTTTTCCCCTGAGCCCTCCCTATCCCAGCTTCCCTGCAACAGCTGATGACCTGCAGTGCTTCAGCCAAGAGCTTTGCTGCTGCAGTGCTGCTGGGCTGGGTGCGTGGCCTGGGAACGGAGGAGGAGGAGGCTTCACACCTGCAAGGAGAGGCCATCAGAGCTGCCAAGAGCACAGACCAAACGTTCCTGTGATGAGCTGCAAGGCAGCCTCCTGCCCTGCTCAGGACCTGCACCCCATGGGGCTCCCACTGTGAGGATGCACAGACCTGCCAGCACCACCTGCAGCGAGCTTTGAGCCCCCTCCTGGCTTCATCCCTGTCCAGACCCCTCTGCAGAAGAGGTCGAGGCCCCAGTAGCCTGTGAGATGGAAGCAATGGTGCAAGCTCTCCTGGCTGCTCATGGACAGCTCTTTCCATCAGGGATGGAGACCTGGGGGATGTGGATGGCACTCCATTCACTCAGTGGGTTTTGGTGTTGGTCATTCTGCTCTTTCCCTCTGTGCTCCAGTGTAGGAGCAGCACTTGGTGTCTTGCTCAGGCTGCCAGAAGGAGGCATTGCTTGGTGCCAGCACTAACATGAGGTGATGGTCTGCCCACGCAGACTTGTGCCCACTTTCTGCCATCCCTGAGTGGGATCCTCCTGGCTCTGCAGCAGCCCCCTTCTAACCAGGTGGCACCGGGACCTGTTTTCCTGACCTCTCTATTTCTCTTTCAGGTATGACCTCCCTTATCTAACACCTCCTGTGAGCCAGAGGCTTTTCCTAACCAGCTACCTGGCTGCTTTCCTTCCCCTCTCTCCCTGCCATGCACCCTGTGCTGCAGCAGACCTCACACAGTCTCCCTCCGAGCTGGTGGTGCAGGATGCTTTCCAGCTCCAGAAGATCTCAGGGGAACATAGGTCATGCAGGAGTGGGACTGTGGGCTCCCCAGGAGGCTGGTTTCATCACTGGGCTGCAGTGTCCAGGCCTGGGTGGGATGGTTCAGAAGAAAGAATTGAAGCCATGAAAACTGCCCGTCTCCCCTGGCACCCATGGGCTGCTGCCTTGGCTTGTAGCTCTCGGGGGATGCAGAGCTCAGCATCCCACTCCTCATTCATGCCCAGAAGGCTCCAGGTCTGTGGGCACCAAAACACACGTGGAGGCACACAATTTTTAAAATAACTCTTTATAACAGTAACCAGCTGACAGCCTTATGGTTTGAACTCTGCCACCCAAGGCTCTGCAGCCAGCCAGGCACATACCACCAGGAGAGAGTCTCTGAGGGTTATGGAGTAGGGATTGAGTCCATGTTAGAGCTTCAGCCCAGCTAGTAGCCTTATATTGAGAGGGTCTTTATAACAGAGCCTTATTGTTTAATTTGCATATATTTCTATATATTATATATATATATATATACTGTACTTAAATACTCTCACGGACTCACTCTATTAAACTCTAATACCTTAAGTGTAGCTGCCCTTCACTTTCAGACCAGCCCAACTCCTGCTCCCAGGGGAACCAGCAGCTTCCCTGCTGCTGCTGTTGCCTTGCAGGGCTGCTGTGAGGGAGCTCAGTGAGGGCCGGACCCACAGCAGGTACTTCATCCTGCCTGGTGTCCTGGGGCAGAGTCCTGCACAGGCCCAGCTCCTCGCCTGGGGAGCCTCAGCTCCTGCAGGGAGGGTTTCTCCAGCCCTGAGGCCACTTGGTCTGATGGAAGTGCATGGCAGAGTGGCAGGCAGCAGGACAGGCAGGGCACCTCCTGCTGCCCCAGCTTTGAGTGGGGCTGGGGCCCCTCCTTGGGAGCGGTCCCGTGGGGCAGTGCAGGGCGGCTGGGCAGCCCGGGGTGGTGGCTCGGGTGCCCAGGGTCCTGGGCTGGCTGTCTTGTGCCGTGGTATGTCGAGAAAGGCAGAGTCAGGTGCTGCAGGGTAGCCCAGAGCAGGGGCTGACATGGCCCTGGTGCTCTGGAGCCACGGGTTGGGGAGAGGTGAGAGGCTTGAGCCCTCGGGGCAGGGCAGGGCTGCACACCGGGGTGAAACATCCGATTTAACGGGGCTTGCAAGGACAGGGCCAGGGCTGCTGCTGCTGGCAGGGACAGGACACGGTGCTGAGCTGTCTGGGGAGGTGGTGACCAGGGCAACCCAGGGCTCTGGGCTGTTGGCAGAGGTGAGGAGCAGTGTCCACCCCAAGGACAAGGCGGTGTGAGCCCTCACAGCCAGGGCATTCAGCAGGTGGTGCTCCAGTGGCTGCTGGCAGCAGCGTGGGTGGCTGTCCTTGCTGTCCCCTGTGCTGGCCAGGTGAGTGGCAGGAGTGCAGTGTGGTGGAATTCGGGTGGCTTTGGCATGCTGTGTCAGGCTGTGGGTGAGAGGGACCCTGGGCCAGCCTGTGAGACAGAGCTGGACCCCTCTGTTATCCCAGGGGCAGGATGGGAGCAGCAGAGTGAGGCTTGGCCTGAGAGTGTGCTCAGGAGCATACAGCCTTGGGGGGCAGTGGAGGAAGAAGAAGGGCAGAATTCTCTGGGACCAGAGCTGTTGGCCCCAGCGCCAGGTGGCAGAGCAGAGGTGGCCAGGTTGGATGCTTGGGCTGTGTTTGGGAGCTAGGATGTGCCAGGGAGGGGAGCAGGCTGGCTAATGCGCTGGTAACTATGTACTGTGGTGCTGCTGTCCTCACTGCTTTGTGGCATCTCTGCTCTGGAAAGAGAATAAATTTGTATTTATACTGATTCCTGGATCAGTGCTCTGGCCTCTTCTATCCGTGCATCTCGGCTGAGTCAGCTCCCGTTGCTGTGCCACGCTGGCGCTGCTCCTGCAGGGCTGCTGGGACGCAGCCTGCACTGTCACCCTGCACTGTCACCCTGCCTGCCCACACACTCGAGGCACAGCAGAGCTGTGAGCAGAGCCCCAGGATCCCCAGACACAAGTGTGTCCCCCAGCCATCTTCATCCTCTTCCAACAAGAGGAGATGGAAGTTCCTCAGCCCTTCTCTGTTCAGGCCATGTGGTTGCTGAGGGGTGGGACAGGGGCTGTGCAGGGACAGTCCCTCTTTCCCGCAGGAACTCTGGCTGTGGGAAATCCTTCAGCCCCAGGCGGGAGGCAGACAGCAGTGGGATGCTGGGCAGGCAAGGCAGTCCTCTCCCTCCTTTCTCTCTGGAGCTCCAGAAGTTTTCTGTGCCCAGAGGTGTCTGGGTGCCTCAGTCCCAAGTGCTGCCAATGTTTGCTGTGCCTTTGTGGCGCAATAAGGGATTCAGACAAGAATAGTTCGGGGTAAGGCCAAGGGCTCTTGGGCTCTCTCCCCTGCCCAGACTTGGCTGATGGTGAAACCTGCCCAGGACAGACAATTTTTGGGCTGGACCTGCTCTCACCCCTGCCTGGCAGGGCTGGCAGTGCTGGGAAAAGGCCTGACACGGTGCCACTGCAGGGAAGTGTGGGGACACTCACGCAGGTGAAATTCAGGAGCTTAAGGGGGATGAAATGCAGCCTCCTTGACCACCCCTCTGGAGAGCAGCACAAGCTGCCCCATCCCTGTGCCACGGGCTCCAGGGCAAGGCAGGAGGTGTGGGCTGTGCTCAGGGAAGCTGGTCACGCTCAGGAACAAATCCAGCCCATGGTGCCAGGGAAGAGCTTTTATTTCTCAGCCAGCAGAGCTTGGTGGCACCCAGCTGAAAGGCGCTGGAGCCTGGGAGTCGGGGCAGGGTGGTGGCAGGGTGAGGACAGCATTGTTCCCGTGTCACCGCTGGGCCAGTCCCCAGCCCCCGGGCCCCCTCTCTGGGTACAGGAGCCCTGCTGCCTGTGCTGTGCCTGTCAGTGGCCTGGCAGCTGTTCCCCCAAGCAGGGGAGCTGACCCTGCTCAGGGCTGGTCACAGTCCTGCTCTTTGCTGCACTGCTCCGGGGGTGCAGCACCCCCTTCTCTGGCTGCTATGGGGCATGGGGGTATTTTTGCCCCTTCACCCAGCTCCTCATCTTCCCCAGGGGTGAAGCTCTCTGGGGAGATGTTGCCTTCCCCAGCATTTTCTTGTCCCCTGGCTGCTCCCTGCTCCCTGCAGCTCACCTCTTCCAGAGCCTCCCCAGATGTTTTATCCTCCAGCTCTGGGGGCCCCTCAGCTGGACCCAGCCCCTCGCTGGGAGGCCCCAAATGTGGGGCTCTCTTTGGCTGAGCCTGGGTCTCACTCCCTGTGCCAGCTCCCTCTGCTCTGCTGCCTCCTTGCTCCAGCCCCTGCAGTAGCCCTGCTGCCTTTGTCTCCCCTATTGTCCCACATTGTTCTTCTTCAGGCTGTTCCATTTTTGCTAGCAGATACTCTTTGTCCTTCTCCACTTTCACTACTGCCTCTTCCTCCCTCTCTTTTCCTTTGTTTTCTTCTTCCTTCTCTATTTCTTTTCCCTCTCTTAATTTCTCATCTTCTTTCTCTGCTCCCCTCTCTAGCTTTACCTCCTTGCTCTCCTCTTTTTCTTCCTCTTTCTTCTCCTCTTTCCCCTCCTCTTCTTCCTCTTCCCTCTCCTCTTTTTTCTCATCTTCCTTCTCTGTTCCCAGCCTCTCTGGCTTTGCCCCGCAGGTGCCCAGGTTTTCTTCTTTCCCCACTGCTGCCCGATCCCTCCCTTCCACCTCTTCTCCCACAGGCTCTCCCCAGGCTTCTCCTCCTGGTGCTGCCCCTTCACCCCCAGCCCTGGGGGTCCCTTGTTGTGCCTGGGGAGCCCTGGGCTGTTCCTCTACCTGCTCCCCCTGCCCAGGGCTCTCCCGGACCCCAGCCTCACCCTGAGGTGCCCCATCACCCACCTCCCTGCTCTCCCGCTCCTCACGGGCCTGCAGGCCCTGGGATGGCTGGAAGAGGCCCTGGTAGCGCTTCCGATCCTCCACGTGCTTCTTCCTCATCCTCTCCCCCAGCTGCTTCAGCTCCTTCTTCACCGCAGCCGCCATGGAGGGGTCGAGGTGGGCCACGCGCTGGAAGTCCTCCCGCGCCTCCCTCTCGTTCCAGACAGCAGCGTGGGCCTTTGCCCGCTTGAAATAGGCCTTGGCGTTGTCTGCCAGGAGAGAAGAGCCCTCAGGGGGTCCTGCAGCGCAGGCCACGGGAGCTGGAGACCCCTGGGGACCAGGGGACGTGAGGAGTGGGAGTGGGGTGGATGTACCAGGAGGGGTGCAGGGAGACCTGGGCCAGCACTGCTGCTGTGGGCAAGGGGCACAGGGAGTGCAGGGATCATCGTGGGAAGGGGTGGGATGGGGCGGTGGGGAAAACTGGGATCCAGGGATCCAGGTGACACAGGTACTGTCACAGGCAGAGGGACACGGCACGAGCAGTGTCACGGGTGGGGGACTCGGAGCGTGGAGTTCTTGGGAGTCATGGGCGCAGTGGGTGGGATGCAGGGCACAGGTACCCTTGTGCTTCTGGAGAAGCTCCGTGGTGTGCTCCAGCACCTCGTAGTACTCGCCGAGCTCCAGCTGGCACTGGCAGTAGTTGAGCACCAGCGGCGTGACCAGGCTCTCCAGCTTCAGCCAGTCATCCTCCCACGGCTTCTCCTGCCCTCCAAGCAAGCCAGGGCAGCTCGTGGCTGTGTCCGTCCCCTCCCAGGCACCCAAGGCACACAGCTGTGTGCTTTGAGGTGTGACCCAGGTGGGGCTGGGAAGGTGTTTGTCCTGCTCACCTTGGCCTGGAGGTTCCTGAGGCAGATGACAGCCTCCTGGTACTTGGCGGCCGCCTGTGCGAACTCCCTGCGCAGGACCAGGCGGTTGCCCTCGCTGTGCAGCACGGGCACTGCTGCCAGCTTCTCCTCCTTGCTCATGGCCCAGGTGTCACGTTTGTAGGCTGAGGGGTCCTCCACCTGCCCAGGCAGGAGGAGCTGAGCGGCTGTCCCAGCTGCTCCCGCTCTGGCAGCCATCCCCACCATCCCAGCATCGCCCGTACCCGGAACAGCTCCATGATGAAGATGAGGGGCTGTGGCGTCCGCTGCAGCTCGTCCAGGTCATCGTAGCCCGTGCTGTGGTAGTCAAACATGTTGCCCATGCCACAGCGGTGCTTCTGGCCTTCCAGGGGGTCCCGTCCCTCCGCGATCCTCCGCATGCCCCTGGAGACCAGGGCATACATGCCTGTGTGCTGCAAGGAGGGGAGCACCCCGCTCAGCCGTGGGGGGGCTGCACCCCCTTGTCTGGGGCAGCCCCTCGGTGCTGAGGCCGAGTGACACCCTGTGTTTGCACCAGACAAGGCATGGACGCATGCTGCTGTGTCCTGGCTCTGCAGGAAGGAGGGAAGTGGGCATCTCTGGGCCCCTCACTCACAATGGCGTCGCACCAGAACTCTGCCACCTCCCCAATCCTCATGGAGCTGAGCAGCGTCTCCCAGATCTCCAGCTTGAACATCTTGCCCACGATGATCTCCATGGGCATGCCAGCTTCCCGGCTGTCATCGATCACCGTCCGCTCAAAGTCGTCCTTCAGTGTCTGGAAGTGGAAGGTGAACTGGCCCAGAGAGAGCCCAGTGGTGAGACTCCCCTGGGCAGCCAGCATGACCTCAGCTGTGGGGTCAAGCCTGCTCCAGCACTGTGCTGATCTGACTGGCAGCTCTCCCTTCACAGCAGGAGATTGTGCCTCTTGCCCACTTCAGACAGCAAGCAGATGGTTGAATGTCAACATCCATCCATGCTACAGCTCGCTTCTCCCTGTGGATCCTCCCTTATAACCCCATGCAGAGAGCACTCTCACAGTGTGCTCCAGGACCTGCTTAACCCACAGTGATCAGAGGCTGGGGAATCTCCCAGGAACAACCCATTGGCACATCTCACTCCTGCTTGGCATGTAGCAGGAAAGGCAGATTTCAGCAACCCACCGGGGCTGCTGAGCTCTAGGAGTGCCAGGGGGAGGAGGTGTCACAGGCCCAGTACAAGGTGAGGCCATGGGCACTGCCAGCTGTCACTGTGAGGAATGTGGTTGCCTGTGCCCAAACCAGCCCCTCCTGCATCCCTGTTGTGAGGGCACTCACTCTTCCCCAGACCTGGAACTGGGCTTGTGAACTCTGATGGGCAGGGATGTCAGACCCACTCCCCCTCCCAGGGCTCTGGAGGAACAACCCAGACAATTTACCTTGCTCCCATCCTGCAACTTTGGCAGCTCCCCTCGGCCTCCATGCAGAATCTTCTTTTTGACCCCTTCCACATTCAGCAGGTAGGTTTCTTCCATGGCTGCTCACAGATCACAGGCACCCCAGCACACTCTGGACCTTCTAGGACTCCACGTCTTCCTCAGGTGACTCTTTCTTGACTATGTGGACATACACATCATCTTCCAGGGCTCCTGCTGCCCTTTTTCTTTCTGTGCTGGGGGCAGAGCCTTCTTCCCCTGCTCTTGGATTGTGAGAGGGGTGTCCTCTCCTAGCACACACTCGCTGAAGCCCCTGGTGTCCTCTGTTGCTTTCTGTAACCACCCTTCTAATCCTCTTCCCACCCTGTCAGGTTAATCTGGGATTTGCCTGCATAGTCTGTGAGGAATTACAGGAACTCCCTGATCAGGAGGGCCTTGTTCCTCCCACTGAGTGACAGCACTTTTGACCCAGCTCCATGAAGAGCACTTTGGGGAAGGAACCCAGCAGTGCCCCACCAAAGGTGCCCAGGCATGGCTCCCTGCCAGGGGCTGTGTGGTTGTGAGACCACAAAGGAGAAGACCAGGGTTGAAAAGGAAACTTTATTGAGTTTGGTTTGCAGATATAAGTATTCCTCAAACACAAGAACAAACTCTTACGAGGCCACA